TGATGCTGCTTGGCCTGCTGTGTTCATCCAGCCTTGCACCTTGTTGTATGAATTTCATTCCTTTTTTTAACATGTGTACTGAAATCTTTCAATCTTTTTATCCAGTGTAGTATAGCATGTTTATCTTGCTTAAATGTTTTATTCTGTTTAAAAGTACAGCCACCAATTTGTCAATATTTTCAGTAAATGACTTCCTTTTGTTTAAAGATCAGTTAAGGTCTATCAAGCTAGGTTTCACTTTGGAGTCTGATGTGTTCATTACTGGTATCAGCTGTGATCATAATAGAATGGGGAATCCTCTTTCCATGTTATGTTGATTTGAAATATGTGTTGTAGCAGTTGGTTTTGTTTAAATCAATACCAATTTGTGTTAAATTGAGGTACTTAAATTGATGGTAGCACCAGTTTCCCTTAGAGGTCAGTGACATAGGTGTAGATTTAAAGTAATTAGCAAGAGGATTCAGCAGGCGTTGTAGTGAATTTGTTTCACGCAGAAGGTGATAATAATTTTGCAACTCATTTCTTAGAGGGTGATTTGAGGTAGAAACCCTCAATGCATTTAATTTGAATATTCACTTGAAGTGCTGTAACCTGTAGGGGCACAGACTGAGCTAGAAAATGGGGTTAATCTGGAATGCTCTTTCTTGGTTGTTAGTGATTCAGATGGCCTCCTCCTGTACTGTTTATTTTCAGTTAGTAATGATCTATCTCAGCTTGAACATCAATGCATTCTCTCCTTTTTATTAGTGTTTCTACTTTGGTTATGTCTCTTTTAAAATTTTACTTCTGGAATAGGACCGAGGAATTAACATTTATTTTTTGTGGTAGGGGAATATATCAAAAACTGGAGACCAAGGTACTTTCTGTTGAAGACAGATGGATCCTTCATAGGATATAAGGAGAAGCCTCAAGATGCAGATTTACCATATCCTTTAAATAACTTCTCAGTGGCAAGTAAGTCTTTGTGCAATCAAATTTATTTTCCGATGTATGTAGTATTATTTCAGTGTAATTTCCAATAAGTCAAATGCATTTCGCTCACACATTTTTGCAAATCCTTTTAATTTGTGTTGAATAAAAAGCTTGCTATTGAAATTTCTGGAGGTGCTTTACTGGACAGAATATTCCAGTATTATCCTTTGTGCACTCATGTATTCATGGTAAAGGAAATTCTAGAGGGAGAATATTATTGTTTAAAATGATTTTATCAGAGAAATGTGTGGTGATGACTCTACTTGATAACAGAATTGATTTTTTGAGAAAAAGTGAGGCTGTCAGTTTTTCTACAGTGATGTGAACACAAATTGCAATCCCAAGACTTTAACTTTAGCTGTACACTGTGTTATATGTAGGTTAGTGCAGTATCTGCTTCTGTTTCAATATCACAGCATTATTTAATTTTAGTTTATTTCTATTCCAGCTTGTATCATGTGAATTTTATGTGAAAAACATTTTGAGTTCCTTTGATCATCTTTGCTTATGGTTACTCAGCTATCTTGAATTAGTGTTATGTTTCCTTTCTCAGATGTAGTTTCCTTCCAACCCTGTTCCAACATCTTGTCAAAACAAAAAATGTTATTACAGGGTAGCTACCCTGGACCATTCTGCTATTCAGCTGCTGCCCCATCTTCAACTTCACCTTATTGTCCAAGATATTGAAACATGCTACAACTAAATATGTCCATATCCATCAGTCCTTTTATCTTCCTTTCTGCTCATCAAAACATCAGTAATGGTCTGGGCATCTATGATAATAGTGCTACTAAAATTCTCTTTAATCGCTCTGGAATTTGACAAGAATATCTGTACCATCTGCCAGAAGGTCTTCCATTGATTGTTCATTGTACCACACTTCCTTGTTCCCTTTCTTAACTATTTTGTAGCCACTCCACCTTCATAATGCATTCTACAATGTTTATATATCACCTCAGGTGTACTCCAAGATTCGTTTTGCACTTGTCATATTTCTAATTTGTCTAGTGCCCCTTACTGTATGATCAAGAAGCATGGGGTGAATATGTGCTGATACTTTGCTTTATTTACCTCCATTATCCTTCATATTATGTTCATCCTTTGTAGTGTTGACAGATTGCAGTAGACACAATTTTGTTCAATTCATCTGCTATTTGCTTTCTTTCCATTAACAGACTGAAACTGGGGAATTAATAGAGAACCAATGCTCATGATGCTGCTTGGCCTGCTGTGTTCATCCAGCTCTACACCTTGTTATCGCATTCTCCAGCATCTGTAGTTCCTACTATCTCTCATTTTAATTACTTGCTTGTTAAATACCTGTAGAAACTCTTAACTGCTTTTGTTTCTAGCTAGCTTTCTCTCGTACTCCAGTTTGTAGAGTCATACTCGTTTAGCCATTCCTTTTATTCTTAACATTTTGTTCAATCTTCTGTCCTGCCATTCATCTCTGCAGGATTATTTGCTTTGTTCTTTTAATCTGATACGATCATTAAACTTCCATCATTAGCTATGGATACTTTATTCTCCCTTGAAATCTGTATTCATCTCTCTCAATGTATCTTTTCTGACAATTCTGAAAATCTCCTTTAAATGCCTGTCATTACATCTCTGAATTATTCCTGAAGCAAGTTATTCACTTCACTTTGCCCAGCTCTATCTGCATGCCCTCATTTTATATTTAAAACATTAGTGTGTCAGCCATTCTTTTCTCCTTTACACTGAATGTGAAACTCAGTCATTTATAATAATCACTGCTACCTAAGGGAATCTTCATTAAGGTCATTAATTAACCCTGTCTCATTACACGATACCAGATCTAGTAAGGCCTGCTCTCTGGTTGGCTGTGGAATGTACTTCTGTCATAAATTTTTCATAAAACAATCTATGAACTCCTCATCTAGGCTAATTTTGCTAATTAAATTCGACAGATGTGTACATAGATCACCCATGATTATCTTTGTACCTTTGTCACAAGCTGGCATTATCTTTTGCTGTCTACCCTGTCTGTTTTCTTTGGAGGGTGCAGTAAATGGCCCCCATAAGTTACTTCCCTTTACTATTTCTAATCTCTATCCAAATGATTCTATATGCTGATCTCCAAAACTAAGCTCATTTCAAGCCACTTTTGATGATAAACAATGAGTCCTCCTATTCTGTCCCCTCTGAACTCTCAGCACTATTTCTAAGTAGTGCTCAATGTGTTTCTCTTGTATCCACCTGCCTTTTTCGTCTTAGAGTCAGAGTCGTGCTGCATGGCAGTGGACCCTTCGGTCCAACTCGTCCATTCCAACCAGATATCTTAAGTTAATCTAGTCCCATTTGCTAGCATTTGGCCCATATGCCTCTAAACACATCCTCTTCATATACCCATCCAGATGCCTTTTAAATTATGTTATTGTACCAGCCTCCACCACTTCCTCTGGTAGCTCATTCCATACATATGCCACTCTCTGTGTGAGAAAGTTGCCCGTTAGGTCCCTTTTAAATTTTTCCCCTCTCACCTTTAAACCTATGCCTGCTTGTTTTGGACACCCCACCCTGGGGTAAAGACTGTGGCTATTCACGCTATCCATGCCCTCATGATTTTGTAAACCTCTGTGAGGTCACCCCTCAGCCTCCGACGCTCCAGGGAAAATAGCCCCAGCCTATTCAGCCTCTCCCTATAGCTCAAACCCTCCAACCCTGGCAACATCCTTGTAAATCGTTTCAGGACCCTTTCAAGTTTCACAACATCCTTCCTATAACAGGGAGACCAGAATTGCACGTAGTATTCCAAAAGTAGCCTAACCATTCGTCCTGTACAGCCGCAACATGACCTCCCAACTCCTAATCTCAACACACTGACCAGTAAAGGTAAGCTTACTAAACGCCTTCTTTACTATCCTATCTACCTGTGACTCCACTTTCAAGGAACTATGAACTTGCACTCTAAAGTCTCTTTGTTCAGCAACACTCCCCAGGACCTTGCCGTTAAGCATATAAGTCCTGCCCTGATTTGCCTTTCCAAAAGGCTGCACCTCACATTCATCTAAATGAAATTCATCTGCCACTCCTCAGCCCATTGGCCCATTTGATCAAGAACCCATTGTACTCTGAGATAACCTTCTTTGCTGTCTACTACACCTCCAATTTTGGTGTGATCTGCAAACTTACTAACCATACCTCCTATGTTCACGTCCAAATCATTTCTATAAATGATGAAAAGCAGTGCTCTTAAATGAGTAATAACTTTCTGCATTTCCATGATAGCAAAACCAAAGCCATCTTGTTTATACTGGGATGTAAAGTGTGTGATTTATATACATTTTAGTATGGGTTATTTTGGGTTTTTGAAATTTGTAGTGGCAAATGGGCGCTTACTAAGTGATGGATCAGGTTTAATGATTAATTTGCAACATTTTTTGCAGCCATGGTGACATTTTAAAAAAAAAAGAGTTCGAGACTTCCTGGAGAGAAATGTTGATTTGTTTACATGGGAAAGTTTACAAGTGAACAAAATAAATGGTGTTTTGAATTAGACTTTCAGATTAAAAATTCCAGAATCTTCATAGGCTTGGGGAAAATACCCATAAATTATGGGGAATAAAAGCTTTTTGGCTTCAGTTTGGGGCAGTTTGTAGAAATCTTAGCTGAAACTCAATGTGTAAAACAGTTGCTTCTGAGAAAGAGAGATAGTTTAGGAATGTTAAGAAAGACGTTACTTCAGTGTAAGGAGTTTATTTTTAGAGTTTCAGTATTTGGTTAAAACCTAGAAGAGGTTATTTGAAGCTGAGAAAATCTAAGCTGTATGAAAACTCTAGGAAGAGTTTGTCAGATTCTCAAGATAGGGAATTGAAGCCACAGTTGAATTAAGCTCTGTAGATGTGAAAAAGGAAATTCTCTTAGGTGTGAGTACTGAAAAGGAGTGTTGTTGTGATTCATGGGATTATATTGTAACATGTGTTTTGAAATCTTAAAATAGAGTAAATAACACAAATTTAACCTTTTTAGTGTAAACTTCTGCTTGATTGTTGAACCTGAATCCACAGCATTGAGTGTTTGTGGTTCAGCGAAGACCATCTCATTAAAAACAAAAAAAAATCAATCTTCCCAGATCCCAGCCTGGAATCTGACTTGTTCAATCATTTAAAATAAAGGTAAAGTTGTGATAGTCTCAGAGGACACGCAAGCTGCTCTCATTAGAGAGAGATGACGAGTGGTTAACTTGATGGTCACTGCACCTCAGCCAAGATCTTCACTGTGAACTTGTGAAAGTTTGCAGAATAGAGTTCCAGTCAAGAATTATGTGAATATACCTTAGCCTAGTTAATGCTATTTGTATTGATCAATGTCTTCAGGAATCAAGCAAGATACAATCCCATGTGCCTATGATGCTGTGAATTGCTGAAACTGCTTAAGTGCACTAGTCGGTTACATCTCTGTTTTTCTTTTAATTTATCTCTTAACTGTTTGTCTGAGAGTGTTGGGGCTAAAATTGAAAAAGATCAGGTTTAAATCGCAAACATGGATTAGATAACCATGTTCTTTAATTTTGCTCAGCTAAAGCTACTGGATTAATAATATATTGATTTTTTTGCTTAATGTATAAACTTGGTGTTTAGCATCAGTTGTTCATAATGTCTGGTGAGAAACCTTTGAGGCAATTTTGAGGTTTATTGCATGTTTTGATTTTACTGTGTTGCAAATACAGAGATGGGGAGGATAATTTGGTTTGGCAGTCTGTCTCTGTGTAAAATAATTAGGAACTCATCTGGGATGTTAGAACGGTGGCAACATAGGTCGGGAATTGGATTTTGGTATGTCTTAGAGTGGGTAATCTGACACCCAAGTTTGTACACAGACTTAGCACTGGAAATTGTTGAAGGTTTTTGAATGTGTCAGAAGTTTCCCCGGTAAAGTTGCAGAGTATAATTAAAGTAGATCTGTATAGTTAGTGAGCAATCTGGAAGTAAAGTAGCCAGAGCAAACTAAGGCTATAG